GTTTGATGGTTAACGTGTTTCAAGACTTATAAAGTCCATAATGATATTCAGTGACGGAATATATGAAGTACAACACTTGTACTTTGACACTTGTGAGATATTTACGATATATTATTAAGTTCCGGAAATGCGATGTTAGATTTGGTTTTGATGCAAAATGGAGAAAAAGAACAAACTTTGTATTCTGTTGTTGTATTGCCTTACTTTCTTTGTGTCTGTAAATTGGTTCATACAAGCAACTATCCAATCGTAGTGCGAGGCGTAAACTATCGTCCGTTTATCATTCGCAGTGGAATGCAGTTTTCCTCGTGAAGTGCTGCAACGGATTCAACAAGTTTGCGGTCATGTATGTATATTCATAGATTTTATACTTGGGTGAATTCATGTATCCTCCGCTCCCTGGTAGACAAAACGTTCAGGGCTAGCCTATGAAGCAAAGCGAGGGGCGTGAACATTGGATAATACTGAAGTAAAAACATAAGGTTCGGTGTAACTAGTGTGGATAAAACTGTAGACATTATATTCTAGTCTGATTTAGGTAGTTGGAGACCTATCTCTTCATACATAGTCAATATTAAGTCATTTGTTTGATCGTAAATATATACTACTACGGTTTGATTGATTCCGGTAGCATGTCGGTGTCTTGCCTGATCTAATATTCAGATATCTTAGCATGCATTTGGATTCAAATTAATTTTATGTGAATCAGATTACCTGTCTTTCTGCAATATTTCATCATATGTATTATGGCGCGTAGCCTCCAGCGCTACTTCTGTGCAAAAAACACGACGAAGTAGATGACTGAGTTAACAGTGGTAACTTACCTTTTTTATTCATTTCAGAACTTTTGTTTCTTGTTGGACACGAATAGGACAAGGAATCGTTTTGTTATTATGTTGTTAGAAACTGGTTCCATATTAAAAATCTGTTAACAATTCAGACGTTACTCATAGTTCCAAATGTATTACCTAATAACTGTCTTGTTATATACACCACCAGAACGTGCACCCTTAAAAACTGGTACCTAAACGCCGTTTCCGAACGGCTTTTCCTGTATGACTGTACCCAGCCAGGCCAGCCTGCTGTCACTGTGCCAAGCAGGGCTGCCACTTTTGCCTGACTAAAAACATCTAGATTGACCTCGAAAAACATCTAGAAACATCCAGGTTGAAAAATAAAACATCTAGAAAATACATCTAGATATGAAGTCATTGAATTTAATGAAAAGTAACCACAATACAGTAATATTAGATGTCGAAGAAGCTAACATCACCTAGAATTCAATTCCCACCTGCAGAACTTACAAAAGACCCTGTTCTTATCATCTGAATGGGCAACCCATTCCTTAAGCCAATCTTTTCTAAATTTTTGCTGGTAGTGTATACACTTTAGCATTTTGAAAAGTTGATGTTTAAAGAGAGACACGTTCAATAGCGCTTATAGCAGTGTTTCTCAACCTTTTTGTCTTTGCGGACCCTTTTGGTGCTCTCAAGGCGGTCGCGGACCCCTCAAAAGTTTTTTATTTGAAATTTAGTCTATAGCTTAAACAGCAACCTAATGTTCCGTACAGATTTAACCAAGTCGAAAATAACACCAAACTAGTGGACATTTCCATTTATTTTGTCAAATCGAATACACTTAATTGGATTTCTGCTGTTGCATATCAGAAGCAAGTCTTGAAATACGTGGTCGTGTTTTTGATAACGATAGACGCATATCGCCTTCGACATTTAGTTGGTGACGAACGAGCCTTGGATTTGATATGAACAAGAGCAGAAAATCCACTTTCATAAACGCAAGTGGAGGCGAATGGAACAATAACACGTAATCGTCTTCGACGTTTGGTTGGTGACGAGCCTTGAATTTGATATGAACGAGAGCAAAAAATGCACTTTCACAAAGGTAAGGGGAGGCGAATGGAACAATTACACGTAATGCTTCCATCGATACTTATGGGTAAGACAGCAAAATGGCGCACCAAAACGGAGAAAGTGATCACTGTAGCTGCGTTCTCGTATTTATCATTGTGCTGTCATAACTTGTATTTGTCACAATAGGTCTACGGGAGATAAATCAAAATAGTTTTTGTAGGTGACCGTACATTTGAACCCACGTACATTTGAACCCATGCGTTTATCCACGGGTTCAATCTATATGCGGGTGCTAAAACCCATGGGTTATGGTTAGTATGGGTTTAACTATCCGTGAAACAAAAAAAATTTTATAGGTGCAATAGCATACAGGTGCAATTGTCATGGGTTCAAATGTACGTGGGTTCAAATGTAATGGAACCGTTTTTGTAGGCTATTGTCATAGGCAGCAAATGTTACAAAAAAACGATATTAAACTGCAATTAATTTTCTAAAATCTTAATTTAATAGCGGACCCCCGGTTGAGAACCACTGACTTATAGACTTAAATAACCTAATAATTTTAAAACCCCTTGGCAACAATATCATCGGACCAACGTCATCCTTTCTACTTAACGTTAATTAAAGCGTCACATGTTTTAAACATGTTTAATTCGGTATTCAAATATTTTAAGTACATATGGCTGTATGGTACCGATGGACGAATACAATATGAATGAGTTTTATCGTAAATATATACTGTTTTATCAATCTTACATCAATACTTCTAAATAATGAAATAATATTCATTCACCTATTACAGTATTACACACATCTCTTTATTTATTTCCCACTGAATAATATTTAGAACCTTGAAAAAAAAAATATCTAGATTTTATAGCTGACATCTAGGCTCCAAATTTTACATCTAGATCTTGAAAAAAACATCTAGATCTAGATATAAAACATCTAGAGTGGCAGCCCTGGTGCCAAGGTGATATTCACTTTGGTCGTTGCTATGCTGTTCGCTGCCCATGGTTACCCTTCCCGTACTTGACGGTGCCCGGAGTCTCTTTTCTGTAACAAATTTGGTTTTTGTACTTTAATATTTGATATATCAATTTATATATATATTGTTCGTCTTATTTCTATTAAACTTGTATCAAAGTTAGACTCTTATCACAGGTGTCGCTGCTCGATAACCAACTTTGGTTTTTCGCGTCACCTTTCACCATGAAATGTCATTTTCAACTTTTTTTAAGTTTATGTTCACTGTGAGTATATTTTCATTTTGGTGAAAAATAAACTACTGACTGACTGTTGTTTTTTATATTTTCCATTTTCTTGTTGTATTCCTCTTCATTGGAAAAATCGCTTTTCTCTTTAACTACCGGACCAATTGCTTTTAAATTTCCAGTGGTTAAAGATTGTTATTGTTGTTGTTATTCATTACCAAATTTTCTCTGACTCACATGAGATTTGAAAAAAAATAAATTCGTTTTGACGTTCGTGTCCATATATTTGGGCATTGCTCTCTTGTTTAATTGGAGAATACAGTCCTACCAACCAAGAGGTCGAATGTTTAGCTTATATAATCTGTAGTGCGTGGTATTAGTTGGTTAACTGCCAAAGCCACGCTTATCAATAATGACAGTACTCTAACTAATATTGTTTTTGATCTTACAAATGTTTACTTAGATATTTCAACCTTCAGTGTCACTTTACAAACATTCTCTTCCTCACTAAATCGTGTGCTCTTTTTTGCATGTCATTTTTTTGACCAAGGCACTGCATAATATATTGCGAGCCGACGAGACAAAACAGAGGACATCTGAGGGTAGAATGTGCAGATCTCAAGTTTTTTGTTTCTTGAAGATTTGATTCGAGTAGCGAGTTTCTGATAATGATGCCCCTAACGTAATAATCCGGGTGATTAACAAATAATTTATATTGTTTTACATGAGAAAGAATATATTGAAGGTCAAGTAAAAGTGAAATGTTTGTATTATTAATAATTTCATCATCAAACTAATCAACAAACTCACATGTATAAGATCAAACTCACGCAATGACCAGACAAGCACATTGTCGGGAAAGAGCTGACTCATCATCACCACAATCAGTCCCACAGGACTATACACGTAATATCAGTTTTTAATTTAAGTAAAAACACATCGAGGAACTCTCCGTATTGGATCTGCTGACCCCTACAACGTGCCGCCTATTTGCAGTTACCCCTATGAACCATCCCTTGCCCCAGACTTCATACTTTGCAGCGCTCCACTCGGCGATATAGCTTGAGCACAGTTTCGCCGATAGATGTCACCATCGAGTCACAAAATCTTGGCGTTATGCGCGTGTTGTTGAAATGGTAACGCATTTCTATCCCGCTTGCATTGTGCAAATTAGTTGTGTTACTGCTGAAATATACAGTTTGAAGTTTAAATGAATCTGCAAATTGCAGTATGATGTATACCTGTGCAATGCCTTCATATATGGAACAAGCAAGATCCAATAAATATCATTTGTGCGAATCAGTAATTTTCCAATAACCATCACGCCTATGCCCATTCTGCACGTTTGCTTCAAGTTCTATATTAATTATATATCAGCAGAGGACCCAGGGGCGTAGTTAGGAAATTTCGGAGCAAGTGGGGGGGGGGGGGGTCCAAAATTTCTGATTGTCAATTTAGACCGATACAGCTGGCTGGTCTGGCCGGAGGACGAAAAATTTGGGTCTTGAGGGTCTATAAAACATTTCCCGCTACCAAAAGTTGCTATGTATTTTACATTTACATTTCAAAAAGAGGGTTTCCGGCCCGAACGAATTCCGAGTTTGCGTAGGTACGGACAACACTACACTGCGAAACTAAGATATTTAAGAAGTTCCGGAGGTGTTCTCGCATCCCTAATGTGCAATTTTTTTATAATTACTGGTCTACAGTAAGAATACAATGGCCGTGGATCAATCGTGTTATAAAATCGATAATTCGCAGCTAGGTTCAACCAACGAAAACCCAGTTAAAATCGTTGACTGTGCACTTGTTCTTATGTAACTACAAGTAAAATTTCTGCCCGCGTTAGTCTGTATCTTATACTTTTGTATCTCTCTTATTACTAACTTGTCTGACTGTAACAAAATGATGACAGTTTTTTTACACACAAATACTACGTTTTTATTCATACACAATGCACGATGAGATACCTTCATAACGCAATTTTGCAAAAAATGAGAAAACTTAACATTAAGTATATTATTAGTAATAACAATGCCTATGCCTAAAATTTGCCACTGATAATAATAGGAATAATGAAATAAAAGTAATCATAATAAAAAGATAAAAGTAAAATAAGCGTAGTAACAAATACGTTATCCACTGGTAGCAACAGGAAAAATTAAAAATAACGAATAATTTTTCGAACACTGGTCATATTAAGTATAGTCAATGGGCATTGTTTTTTAAATTTGTAATGTACCCGACATTACATTTGATCAGTTATTGACGCAAACAGAACAAGGATTAAATTTTTTGTTGTTTAGCGATTGTGAGCCACATCTTTTACTGCTGTGCGTTTAAGCCTGCTTGGCGCGAATTATTTCGATGGCGTTCTGGCTGCCCCTGAGCGCTTTTCATCTTCACGCGCTGTAACGCCAAGACGATGCGGGATTAACCATAATGCCCGCTTTAGTTATTTCTAACTTCACAACACTTGAAATTTCCATGCACTGGATTGATCTTTGCTGTAGTCTCCACAATCAGCCGCGTTACCGTATCCGTTCAATCCTGCTGTTGAACTATGATGAGGATAAGCGTATGCGCTTTGTGACATAAATTGAGCATGTGGGGATGTTACTTGTGTTCCGTTGTGATGTCCTGAGTGCATATGAGCCGAGTGGTGCAAATTTGCAGCGTGGTGCTGAGATGCCATGGATGCAGCACTAACACTATGCCCTGCAGACGGAAACTGCATTGACGGAAGATAAGACGCCTCCATTGTACCAAAATACGATTGTGGTTGGTAAGCCTGTGAATATCCAGTTGAAGTTACCTGTGTGTTGCTAGACAATCCGTAAGGCGAGTGGGCGTTTCCAACATATGGACTAATTGACATACAAGATGAGCTGGAAGCCGGGGGTGCTACACCAGCCAATGACGACATTGATCCTCCATGTCCACCAGTACCATCGCTGCTTGCTCCTGGTGAGAGTGGAGCTGGACTCCATATATTATTGACGTTTCCGGTGTTAGCATGAGCGTTGGCAGCTGTGGGTGGCAGTCCCGATAATTGTCCTTGAGGAGGAGCGATATGGTTCAATGGATCAGTAGGTGATGCAACTGGTGAAGGCGAGTTCTTCGATTGTTGTAGAGGTTGTTGAAATGGTGGACTGACGCTTGTTGGGTTATGGGAAGACTGCTCTGATTCACTACCAGTAGTTGGAGTTGTAGGCGGACTTTTCTTTTTCGTTGACGAGTTGGAGCTGCTATTATTGTTGGAGTTGGATCCGGTATTACTATTGGACTTACTGCCCTGTTTTTGTTGTTGTTGCTGTTGCTGCTGCCTGCATTTTGCTCGGCGATTTTTGAACCATACCTATATTGAAGAAAGAATAAGGTTTAGAAATATGTAAAATTTGATTCAAATAAGATGTTCAAATTGTATGACATTCACGTAATGCAACCATCAGAATTACATTTCACTGACTCGATAATTTTCTTTTATACAATTCTATTTGATTTTCACGCTTGATCACGGTGCAGGTAATTAGTTTCTAGTGTGCGATTTATGATTTTCTCTGTTCGTAGCCATAATTAGTCGCTCGTTATCTCGTTCGAAAAACAAATCCTAACGCGTTAAAACAAACAAGCTATGAAAACAACAACCTGTATTTGTTCGCCTACTTTGGGAATAGTGTCATTATCTCTAATTGTCGCAATTGGGAAAAATAACATGGGTAGATGATGACAAAAATAAGAAGTCAATGTTCGAGTAATTCAAACGCTGGATAAGATACACAATCGAGTTTTTTATTTTATCCTACATATTATGAAATTTCATTTTGTTTAAAATAATTGTGAAACAACGACCGCATGTGAGATAGGCCACCTGGCATCGCGTAAAAAGTCACTATACAATGTCTACTCGATACGCTATGGCACACCGCGTGAAAAAGCGTTATGATAATTACTATTTAAATGATTTTCATAGATCGGTGTTGCACCATGCGCTGTATTAGCAGCTGCACTACGACAAAGGCACGTGCCAATTGATTATGAGCAGCGGGATGCAATTTTCAGATTATTGTATGTAACATAAACAATGCAAGAATGCATAATGGAATTTTATTTTCGAGTTTTTAAACTTCTTACACGGCCACATGGCTAAAAACAAGTTTTTGCACTAAATTTTCAACAGCCGGTATTCCTTAAAATTGATTATATAAGTCCTTACTCAGTAGTAAGCAAATTGAAAAATTGTAACTGGACCAAGAACTGACAAAAGTATTGATTTGCGGCAAAATATTATTCTGGATTTTGTGTTCGTAATCTTGGTTTAGTCGCGCGTTCTACTTGAGCCGCCACTTTTGACAGCTTCCCAATGACATGTTTGTTCCCGCGGCGATGGACAAGCTACCAGGGGCGCCGTTCTCACATCCACTGCTTTCACGCACATAAACTTAAGCGGTGGGGGGTAAACTCTTTCTCTCGAAATTAAGCAAAGTTTTACAATTAAAGACATAGTTGGGTCATATACGCAATGAACAAAGTGATTGTTACGCATGGGCTCTTATGACTCGCTCGCCTCAGATTTAAATAGGACTTTTTCGGTCTTTGAATTTGGCAATTTAAACTGTTTTATAGAGCACAGCGTATCTGTTTAAAACACGCCGGCATTACAATATTACTAAAGCGGTATTTGATAAAATGTTTCAAAATGTTTTTACATACCTGAACACGAGATTCTGGTAGATTAATTTTAAGAGCAACTTCTTCTCGCATGAAAATGTCTGGATAACGTGTTTTGGCGAAAAGAGCTTCTAACACATCAAGTTGGGCACGTGTAAATGTAGTTCGCTCTCTTCTCTGTTTTCTTGATGTACCTGAAGTAACCAAAAACATAAATTATGATAGACATAAAAATAAAACTCATTCGATTCAACTATTTATTTATGCGAAGGAGAGTAGAAACTTGATCAAAGATAAAATATTTTTTCAATTTAAATATTAGACAAAAATTGATTTAACGTTCAATGTAAGAAATAATATACTTACTGTATACAGGAGGAGCCCCGAACGGTCCCATATTTTTGTGGCCCTGATGAACTTGGAGTCCTGAGAAATAAAATAAATCAATGGTCAATATATTTTCCCTGGTATATTTCTTTGACTGCTGATTACTTGTTTTTGTCATAAAATAATAAAAGATTATTCCACATAACCAAACATCAATAAATAATCTCGTAGATATCAGTAAAAACAAGTGTTGTGGGTTTTGATATTCGTTGTTTTCTGAATCTACATTACTAAAGACAACTAGCTCAATTTGAATATTCAAAAAAACTTACTTTGGAAATAGCATGCTGCTGGATCCTGATAAGCAACTCCAGGATGAATTAAATTCATATCATGACCGAGTCCAAGTCCGTTCATGGCGTAGTGTGGTGATTTCAAGTAAGACATTGTTGTAGTCGTATTATTGTTGATTGAATGATATTCAATTTCACCAAATTTCTGCCAAAAATAGAAAATTTTAATATTTAAAAATTTATTACGTGGGACCAAAACAAGATGATATACTTTTAGTATAAAAGTACCAAGGTGTATAATGTCAAATACTCATTCAGCATATTCCCTAATTACTACATTGGCGGAAGGGCATATGGTGGACTTCGTTCATTTGATGTGAATACTAATTACTTTGTGAATCGGGCGCTAATGTAAACAAATCGTTTCCAGAAGTGTTTGTTAAGTAATTAATCGCTAATTTTATATTATCGCATGGTCCATTCAGAGAACAAATTGGGTGGTCATGCAAATTTAATTCCAAGAATTGTTTATGAACTATACGTTATCTTTAAATAAGAATTCAAATGATTTAGTAAATGGTGACAAAACTTTCTATAAACAAATGAGTTAGATTACACGTTTTTTTCCATTCTGTAAAGTTAAATTAACGGAGACATTAGTTTAAAAGTGTTTTTATAATATAACTTCGTCGTCAAAGTGTCTTTTTGGCTGTAAAATGTGACATAAACCTCTTACCTTGGTTTTGTAATAAGATTATTCTTTTAACTTGGGTGAAGAAAATCTTGTAGCTAACTCTTGAAATTGAATTCCCAATGAAGACACAGAAATCTTATATAATTGAATGGTTGCAATAAAGCTAGTGTTAATATGTAATAATATCTGTACATAAAAAGAAGAAATTGCTTTAAACATATTCTTAAAATATCACTTTTGCTACAAATAAGGAGTGAATTTTCATCGAAAACGCTATATCTCAAATCGGATCAACTTTAAACCCCAAATTTAGGAAAACCTCGTGATACGAGACCCTAATTCAATCAATTTAAAAAATTACGTCGCGGGTCGATTTATGTGGATTACTGCCGGATAAACTACGATCATCCCAAAGCTTAAATTCCTAAAAATTCTGCTTTCTCGCTTGGCACTGAAACCTAATCCGTTTGAACATTAGGCAATTTGCCACGTGACTTCGTTGATTTAAAACTTTACTTCTTTCGCTAAACACTTTCAGCTAAATTTTTTGTACTTGAGATGATATCTAACTCATCATGTTGTATATCCAAGGTTTGAATACTACACTTGCCCATGTAACTGATGCTTACGATTACCCAGCAAATGATCGTTATGATATAATTTTGACAACTGACGATCTTATAAAGCGAAAGACTGCGGGTGGGGACGAAGTGCGAATAACGGAAAAGGAAAAAAATATACGGACCGATAAGGACGCAGCAAGAGAAAAACAACAATGAAATACTGCAAGTGCCTCCTCGCTTCGCATGTGAATATACTGGTACTAATTAGCCCCATTGATAAAACAATTGATTAGCGAAAACGCAAACGCCGCTTTGTTTGAGGGATGATGACTGAATGCAGGTGTGTGGGAATGCTAGCGACCCACTGTTTCCTTAAACCGCTCGATTGTAATGGAAATTTACTATTTTTTCATGATAGGACGATCTATAATTCCATAGAAAACGTACGGATTAAAACGATCGCGCACGTGCCCTCGCCATCCAACGACTATGACTGATTTTAACCTTTACTTTGAAAATGTAAATTAAATAGGGCTCGAGATTATTGAGGCCATTGAATGCAGCATAGCTCTCAGCAAAATAATCTTACAACTGGGTTAATCTTCTACAAGAAATTTGCTCGAGTTGAAAAAATGTCAAATTTAAAACAAAATAAAACATTTAAAGAAAAAACATGTTTCTAAAACTTTGACGACAACGGATTGTCCACGTCCTGTTGACCAGTCTAAAAGAACAATGGTGGTCACATTTAAAATGTCTTAAATTACGTCCTTAGAGTAGATCTGTAAATTAAACCCAGTAACATTTTACACCCATTTCCTAAAAGCTGAAGATAAACTAGATAAAAAATCTCGAAAAATTCAAAAACCTCCATTTTGGTTTGAATGGCTCGTTTTTTTTGTCGTTTAAAAATTAGACATCTGGTAAATATTTATAGGTAGCCTCATTAAATCAATTAATTAGTATAAATATATATCTAATATAAAAACTTTTATAGTAACTTTTAAGTTTACTAAAAACATTTCAGGTTAAATATTGAATAACTGTCAATGTCTTCCAATCAATTCTACTTATTTAACGAATATGAGACCGACATCTCAGTTCCACTATCCTTTTAGTAATAACTAGCTATGTGTCGTAAGTGAATGCTGCTTGAATTATTAATTCTAATATATATTGCAATTGTTGAAATGCACCATATATATGCCTCGGAAAAGGGAAACGGAATACAAATGAAATTATTATTAAATTACAAATACAGACATTATTGGGTTCGGTGTTTTTTCATACATGTTCTTGCGCTTTTTGGTGTTATTTTGACAGATGTTGGAATGAGTTATTTGCGATACTGAAAATTGGACTCGAGCAGTTGAGTTTTGCAGACAGCACTGTTCAAATATAAAATCATAAAAAAACAGCGAAACAATTAATTGACTAACTCCTTTGTATGCGTATTTGTCTTCTCGCCACGATACTTCCCAACGCGCAGCGTCGCAACTAGTGCCGTATTCTGCTTCAAACAACCGCCGTTAGTAAAAAACAAACTACACGAGATGTCCCGCCGGTTAATTTGTTTCCTCTGTGTTGGTTTGTTTAAGGTTGCAGACGGACAGCTTGCCTGAAATTTCGAAAATTATGTAGTTTGCATGATATAATTGCTACGGATATCACTAATTTGTTTTGAAAATTTTTATGTGCTTGTGCCAATAGATGGAGAATCGAGAATGTAATAAAAACACAGGAGGGTAATTCAATGCACGACAAAATCGGAAAACAATTTCTTGCGTTACTTGATTCTATAATCTAGTGAAGAATATAGTGATAATTCCTTCAAAATTATGTCATAATCAAAACATTTATCTGTCCGAGAAGTGGTGACAAAAACAATTCCGGTCGTTTAACGTTTATCGGTCGGAAATAACCTATATCCGCCGCAAAGTATTTTATAAAATATCGACTGATTCGTCTATTTTGACGTTGTGTCACCTACCAACTGCGATTTTTCACAGTTGCGATACACGTCGACCACTCGGGCATTCTCGATAACCAATCCGCGTCGGAAACGCGTAGATTACAGTTTCTTGATAGAAAATATTTCTTATCGAATTAAACATTTCCTATTCTGATACACCACCAATCACCGATACACCAACAGTATCTCAACATTCATATCAAATTATCTAACTGTTTCCGAAACGATAGTTTATCCCATACCTTGTAGGAACTTATCTGTCAAAGTATAATTGGAAACTAACTTCCCATAATGATAACATTATCCGAAATTGCTTATTCCATTGCAACAAATGTAAAATCCAACACGCATTGCCTTTCAAAAATAATTTTGCTCAAAACAACCTTCACGAATCAATATTCGTTTAATCTTATTATAATATACAGAAAAATCTTACAAGAAGACACGAACTAAGAGTGCCATTTTGGTAATGTTTTGCATTTCGTGATTGGGTGTCTGAATGCTTAATAACAGTAAAAAAAATTCAAATGTGTTGTTGTTTATAACCAATAGAAACTATTTTGTAGCTAACTTGTGTATATCTAAATAATGTTAGTTATTAAAATAGATAAACTTTAGCTATCTTCAATCTATTTTTTTCGAGTATCGATTTATTTTGATATATTTGCGACATAATGAAGATTTATTATACACAAGCAAAGAAATAATACTTGGGCTTGTTGCTAAGAGTTTAATGTCTTCTGATGCGATTTGTGACGCTAAGCTTTATATCGAACCGATGATCTTGTCATAGCTTTTGTTTAAATTAAGATCACCGCGACACAAAACGACCGCTATCTACGGATCTGTTGCTCAAATGGCTAGATTATCCCAACTATAACGTTAAATTTGATGTAAGCATTCATGTTTCTGTAATCAGTAGATCAATGACTGATTTCTGCTAATCATGACAGAAAATAGCTGGAGAATAAGTTACAAATTACTAAACAGAAATTTTCCATCTTTAATATCTTTATACTGAACAAGACCGTAAGGTGGTTTTTTAACTTGGGCACTTGTATTTAACTTGTGTTAAATAGTTTGTGTTCAGTTTTTAATAGATGTTAGGGCAAAGGTTGCTATATTTAACATAATAACGTTTGACAATAAATACTGAGGAATCAAAAAAATTAAATATTATTTGCTTTATTTAAAAACGAGAAACTCATAATTTGAGAGAAAAAACATCTGGTAAAAATGTGTAAATTTTTGAATTGTTGTGTGTGGTCAGTTTTGTAGTGACCAGTCGTCACGCCGACAAAAGCAAAGCGATTGAAAATTCGTCCGACCATAACTTTTGACCCGTTTAATTCGAGTGGTGGAATTCGTTTAAGTAGGCTGTAGGAAACATTTCCACTTCACACGGAACCGACTGAAAATGTGCGATTTACTTGTATCGTTGTGCTAAAACGAATCAACGACACGTGATACGGTAAAGTGCTCTTGCCCGAAGCGCTTACAGACAACTAACTCAATTTTTTCGTCTAACAATGCTTTACACAAAAATGCAATTACGTGAATTTGCTTGTTGTGCGTTACAAATAGCAATACATCGATGCAATAAATAGAAATCGTTCTACATTGAACATGAATCATGTAAATATTTTCGGAAGTCTTTGCAACTTTCAAGTAATATATTGAAAAATATACTTGCTGTATACATGTATGCAATTTCGCAGGGTAAAATATTATCAGTGCGGAAAAATGACATTACCCATATATCGTACTATCTAGTTTTTACCCAGTTGTTGTAGTGGGGTTACGTACGAACTGGATGAAGAACGAACCTCCCGAGTTATAAATAATTCACCTTCTTGTCTAATATACACAGCGTCGAGTTTAATTAAAATGTCAAAAAACGATATACTGAATATTGAATATGTAACGTCCGATCGTGTTTCGGGACATTTCGACCTACAGAATTAAAATTGACAAGTTAGTTTTAAAAAATATATCAAGTTCCGTCTCAAAACACATATTTTACGAAATTATAATTTCCATGAAAAATTTAATGTAAATTCTTGAAGCGAATAAAGTTTAAATAAAATAATAGCAAGCTTCATTAAAATAGTCGCAATTCATAGTTGGACATAAAACTAACAGCAAAACGGCAATGATTTCACAGTCATAAATTTGTGAACGGACAAAAATTGTTATCAGCAGGAATTATTGAATATCACTATCATTAGTTACAACAACAGTTTGTTTGTTAAAACGATTACTCTCCCCTCGGTGTCCACTTCCCTAATTAAAAGTCCTAATCTTTATCCACGGTCAAATTCACTGTCTTTCTTCGAAGTCGTGCATTGATAAACATTAGAAATTTTGCTTTTTAATCCCCGGTTTGCCTACGTTACCTGAGAGGTTGATTTCCTTCTGCATAGGAGTGAGAGGACACGGATTATTACACGTTATCAAAGAACTCGTAATTGAAAACTATGTATGATATGGGAAGTATGAGAGTTTGCTCCGGAATATCACGTGTTGGTAATTATAAGTCGTAATAATTCAAAAAATTAGAAATCATATTAGCGCTATGGCACGTGTGCTTTGTATAAATCTGATGGCCTAACTCTATTATAACTGCTGTGTTAATACATACTATAATGAGC